GGAACGATCGATTCTACGCTGTCGCTGACTGCTAAAAAATTGTAAGTGTGAAGAAATATTTTTTTTGTTCACACAACATATATTATCTGTGCGTTTTGAAGTGCTGGGAACAACATATCAAAAGATGGCAATTACTTTTTTGGGGTTCCTTAGGTAAGAGGTCGGCCGCTGTATCGCTCTTTTAGCGACTGCTCACCTCTCTCCCGGTTCGGCGGTGGCGCCAAACGTCCGGGTGCAGGGCGACACTTTGGGTCCATGCTGACCCAGCCGACCTCTCACCACGACCACGAGTAGGTAGTCCAGTTCACCTCTCGCCCGGTTCAGCGGTGGCGCCAAACGTCCGGGTGCAGGGCCAGGGATAACTTGTTTGGGTTACTTTGGTGATAGGTCGGCTGGGTCAGCATGGACCCAAAGTGTCGCCCTGCACCCGGACGTTTGGCGCCACCGCCGAACCAGGAAAGAGGTGAACAATCGCTGAAAGAGCGATACAACGGCCCCGGCCGACCTCTTACCTAAGGACCCCAAAAAAACTTGTTGCTATCTTTTGATATGTTTTACCCCGCACTTCAAAACGCACAAATAAATATATGTTGTGTGAACAAAAAATATATTTCTTCACACTTACAATTTTTTTAGCAGTCAGCGACAGCGTAGAACCGATCGTTGCGTTGAGCGTCAACCCGTATCTCGCCTCTACGGCTCAGTCGGTAGCGCGCCCGCTCGGAGCGCGGGAGGTCGGTAGTTCAATTCTCCGACCATCTGAAATTTTTCTCAGGCCACCAAATTGCGAATGGACTTCAAACCCGTCATTTCACCTCGCCCCTCTTGTGGTGTTCCGATGGCGTAGTGGTTACCATTGTTGGTGGCACTGCGTCATAGGTGTCAATTAAGTGTCGGCTCTGGGCCGGGGTTCGCGCCCCGGTGCCTGGCACCTCGCTGTGGTAGCGGGGTGCATAATAAGACCTAGAAACTGGCTGAAAAGGACTCCATGACCTGTGGTGGGTCAGTACAGTTTAACCAACGTACGCCTCAACCGTCTCACAAACCCCGGGAGTATATTCTGACCACTGCGGTTGGGAGCGGCTGTTCGGAACAGAGACCACAGTTCGCTAACTACTGCGGTGGGATGAGGAAAGTACTCCCCCATTTTTGATTTTTAGTTTTGAAGCCTGTTCCTCTTTGAAGCAAATTTTAGCATATCGACGAGGTCGGAGAAAATTAGGTCGGACAAAGCTAGGTCGGACAGCACTTTTAGGGACTTTGTAAAAGTCAACAGGTCGGAGAAAAATAGATCGGACATTCTAGCTGCACCGCCAGCGGGTCGGCAGCGCGCGCCGGGCGGGCCGCCGTCTCCACGCGGGTGCTTGGCGGGCCGGCCTACCCGGAGCGTGGCGGGCGCTATCAGCCTTGTGAAGGCGCGTCCATGCCTGACGGGTTGGCTATTTCTTCGGCTTCACGCTAGAAACTGTGTTGTTTTGTGTACTATACGGCCTCTGAGGGTAGACAAACACGCCCACACACTGTAAATAAAATGTCTGATTTTTTGAGGGAAAAGGGAATACATTGAGGGAAAACTCATTAGATTTTGACGATTTTGAGAAAGTAAGCTTCAAATGATCAGTCTTAATTCCTTAGAGCAGTCTTCATAATACGAAGGATTGGGTTCGTACCGTATACAAATAATCTGGAACTACCATATTACAAAACGGATTTTCTTTGTATTACAAAGAAGCACCGCTTTCGTACTGCGAAGCCGAGCCCTTCGTAATAGAAAAGATTTGTTTGTATTACGAAGGTGCCAAATAAGAAGCCAAAGCCTTTGCTCTATTTAAGTAATGATTTTAATACCTCGCTCTTATTAAGTGTGATTCTAAAATCTCACTCAAATCAAGAGAAATAAACTTCCGGAACCCTCACTCAAAAAAGCGAGGTTTCCCAATGATTCCTCATAGAGCGAGCAAATTTATATCAAATTCTCGCTCTCCGCAGAGCTTATCATGAACCCTCGCCTAGGATTTCTAGAGATGCGATATGGGAGACCGATGAAGGCGGATGGGGTCGCCCTACCCTCTGGTAGAGACAGTCACGAGGACTGTCAAAAAATCAGACATTGCTTTCACCGGGTGACGGCGCGTGCTCCAAAACACCCGGTACGTATAGGTAAGCGAGATTATAAAGGTGGCAGAGAATGCCAGAGCCGTTCGCAAGGCCTCGGCTAATGACGTTGAACGTCCGGCGCTTGTGTTTGTCGGCAGGAAATGTCAAGGGGAGACGGACGGACGGACGGACGGACAGGCTGCTCGGGCGGGGAGGCCGCATCAGCCAGCTCAGGGGCAGCACGACGGCACGGAGCCCCCTCGGCGATCGCCCGTGCTCATAGCGCCATCCGCCACGCTACCCTCGCCACCGTCCAGCAGCCGGGTGCCCTTCTCTGTGGCGCTCACGAGCAGCAGCAGCGGCGGCGAGTTGCTCACGCCCACGGCGCCTCGCATTAGCCTTAGCCAGTGCGATGGGGTGAACCTCAGGTGTGCGTTTACGTTTCCCCCGCTCCACCCCTCTGCACTCAGCCCGCGCCCCAACCTGCCCTGCTTCGCCACCCCAGACACCGCTACCTTTAACGCGGCGCCGTAAAGCACCTTTGTCACGTCGTATGCGCGCGTTACGCGAGACTTTTGGTCCTGATAGCCGAGGCAAGGAAAGTGATTTTGGTGTGGCGCTAGGCTCAGTGCTCTCCCCCCCCCCTCCACCTCTCTCTCTCTCAAAGGAAAGTTACGATCCATAAAGTGCAACGGGAGTAACTAAACGCGACGACAAGGTGGTGCGCTATCCCATAGGAACATCAGCGCGTGCTGTGGGCGCGTGAGCAAGGGCGAACCCCGCAGCCTCCACTGCGAAAATTAGTCGTTAGGTTTCCGCGGAAACATTTAACGGTGCGCGTCGTCAAATTGCAACTTGAAATTTTAAATTTACAAGCACTTCCCAACGACTTGGAATTGATCGACGCCAAGTGTTGTAAATTTATAAATTTCGTATACGTATACGAGGACATTTTTCAGAGAGTGTCTCTCTCTCTCTCTCTCTCTCTCTCTCACACACACACACACACACACACACACACACGTATCGTCCTACTGCTTCGGTGCTGAGTAGATATGCTCTCGCACGGGCGCGTAAGGGGGATGAGGGATGCGGCTGCTACTGGAATGAAAAGAATTCAATTTGAAGCGCGCGCAAAATTTCTCTGTGGGGAGGTGAGGGTGCTAAAAGTGAAGGGGGCAGAGGGCGGGGTGAA